GGCAGAACAGCAAGAACAAGAGGAGCGACGACAATCTTTTGTCGATTCATTCCAGCAGGATGTCAAAATGGAGGAAGGGGAGATTGGATCAGGAGGCCAGGGAGCCAGTGCTAGTGATGAGCAAATGGAAGAAATGGCTACGGACAAACCGGAAAACGAAAACATAGAACCCGCCGAATTGAGTGCAGTGGAACAAATTGAAATCCTTAAAGCACAAATCAGTGATTTAGAGCAACAGGTGGAAGATCTAAAAGGGACCAGGTTTGGAGCTGAAAACATTTCCAAAGATTCTGAATTGCTGACATTTTACACAGGCTTTGTATCAAAGGAACGATTTGATAGCTTTTTCTAAATGAAAGTCAGATTTACAATAAACATAAAAATCTACCCATTCACAACCTGTCAACATCATCTGTCCCATGATCTGGTAGTAATAGCTATGTGTTTTTCGAAGTTTATAAACCCCATTTACACATTTCAGATATTTCAGCTGCGAGATTGAATCCGTAATAGGGCACTTGATTTCCAGCAGCCCCCACGGATTGTTTTCAGAGGGATCATAGACCCTTCGATCTGGAGAGGCAGCCAGATGTGGACATGATGGGTTGATAACAATCCCAGCAGGGAAAACATCAGCATATGCAGACGCTGCCTCTTCTTCTGTATTAATACCATGCCTCATGGCTGCAGTTTCCACAGTCTTCTTTAGTTGCCTTGCTGCCAGTGATTCAAAGTCAGCCCTTCGGGCACAAACAACTTTAAATTTACTCAAAGATAGCCTCTGTGCCCTCAGATCATGCCACTTCTGAGTGTCAGACTGCTCCCTTGTTTCTTCCTCATATAAACAGGATTGTGCTTGTGAGACACTAAGCCCTTCAGCAAAGTTAAGTTCTGCCAAAGTAGGCACAAATGTATAATTGCTTTTAAGCAATGGTACACCAAAAGGCGGTGGCTCCTGTGGCCCCCCAACATTAATGTGAATTTTTGGATCATTGGTTGTGTTCTGACGTTGTTGGTATGATATAACTGAGCCATGAGCTACTCTCCCTAGTTTACTATTCACATAGTCCAAACTGTCAGTTTCTGGAACAATACTGTTTACTTGCATGTCTTCATATTGTCTCTCATAGAATCAATGATTTTGGGTAAACCAAAATGTTCCGGAATCGGATTATACAGAGTGGACCGTACTCCATCTAACCTGCGTATTTTCTTTTTTTGTGTTGCATCATTGCTCGGTGGTTTCACTTGCTGCACCAGCACCTCTTGCACCTCGCGGGGATTGATTCCTGCTGTCCTTTGAGGAACGTGCCATGTTTGTGTTAGACTTGTTTTTGACGTGGCAGGAGGTACACTTTTTAAGCCCAGTTTTCTATAATGCTCAAGGAGGTAAACCAGCCCTATTGCATGGTTACAGAGCCCTGCACCTGCTTCACAGTTGCAGGAGGTACTGGTTATTTTAACTTCGGGAGTCCTTGATATCTCAACCTAAAAAAAATTAAATGGATAAATATCTGCTGTGAATGTGTGTGTGTATGTTTTAAGAATTAACTCGTATGAAAATTACATCAAGCAAAGTTCGAGCTGAGACAAAACTTAAGTATTATAAATAAGCTTACCTGTAACCTCCATGGCTCTTCATTTTTTCTCTGTGATTTGTAGCTTCGAGCTCTAACAATTACTTCTGTATCCTGAGTTTTTAGTGAAAGCAAAGTGCGAATATGGAAGTTTAATACACTATAGATTTTGCACAAGAGATGGCGAATCGTGCAATAAACGAAAAAAAAGCACCATCTAAGATGCTTAAAGAAGCATGCATAGCGTGAAATCACACCAGTATTGCAGTTAAATTTGAGACTGAAATGAAACTTTTACCTTTGACATCGAAGATATACCCTTCGCAGTATCCGGTCGTTTCGCCTACGGTCTGTTCGCCTGCGAATAGAGTCGATTCGCCTATGTCTTATATGTCACGTCACCTACGAGTCAGATGTTGAAGCTTTAAATCGGAATTATTAAAAGTCTTTGTTCCTTGTATTACTCCTTCCATTCTATCCTCAATGGCTAGAAAAACAACGCGCTGAAACATCTAAGTTCGAATGTTTTTAAAAACTTTATTATGGCGGAACCCGGTCGTCTACGAATGTGTGAAAGATATTTTGCTTAAAATGATTTAAGAAACGTGCGATTGTAAAACTGAGCATTAAGATGTGTATTAAAATGAAATTAACCACCGTTTACGGTCTTTGTGTGATCGCGTAAAGCGCGAGCAGAGCAGTAAACAAGCCACTGTTTACGGTCTTTGTGTAGACTTGTGAAGCGTGAGCGTCGCCTAAACTAAAGAAGGTGAGACTTTTCATTAACATATACGAAATTAGCTTCGGCTTGACTTGACAGTCGGTTCAATTTCTGCGTCGATTTGGCGGGCGACTCGTTGAACTTTTATCTCTATAAACTAGTTTATGTATGTAATGTGTCCGGGTATTCTGAGTTACTCCGT